GTTTGCTGAGCTGTTCCGCGACGAAAACAATGTTGAGCAATGGCGATGTCGAATGGTGACACTCGGTAAGTAATCCTACAATTTTTTATTTATAGCGTAGTTTATACGGATTATTTCCAAAAAATATATACGTATTTTGAAAATGTTGAGTCGGATTAGTCTAGAATCGATTAATTTTATGGAAGAAAACCTTTCAATCAGCCGTAGTCCGTAAACTTGACACGTGTCGGGCTGTGATTGGAACGACTCGTAAGAAATCGGATTCCTAAAGAATGGAACGTATCTATATCTTATAGGGGGGTCGACTGTAAAGCTATATATAACATCAACGAATCGGATGATATATACATTACTCCGATAATCTAAAATGGAATACTATTTCTCAAACTTCGTCCTACAAAATATTCAAGAAATATAATCTATATCTGTAAATAAATTTTAACTTATTACATTTAACATATTTTCCAGTACGAAGTTTCTCCTCTTCTCTGTTTCCACTCAATGCCAAACAGCCTCCAAAAAACGTTATCTGATATACGAAATTGAACATTATACAAGTTCCAGCATAATAACAGAAGATTCGAATGAAAGGAAATGGAGCCATCATTCCAATTCAATACGAAACGAAATTAGTGAGTGAAGTCAAAGTAATAGAAACTCCTGCTTCACCATATGTTACTTCCATCCGTTTGTCAACTGTATGTTTGGGATTAGTGATTCTCCAACATCCTATTAACACGAAGGCATCATCTATCTCGGTCACTGGAATTCAAATAATTTCTTTATTTAATGTATCAGTTCTCTCTTTACAGTATGTTTGTGCAAAAGTGATTTACTTACCAAGAACTAAAAACGGAATGGTGACATTCCAGTAAGTACTTTCTACCCCCGATAGTGCCATTAATCCAAAAGACGATACAACAGCCAAACCAGCGTTGATCACACTTGCTAAACCAAGAAGAGGTTTGCTTGTCACCCAACTATTGGTCAAGTTGAGGAGTATCGAAAGTCCAATCATAATTGCGACTAAACCTCCTATTTTAGGTTTCGTATTATTAAATTCTTTCTGAAATTCTTCTTCTATAGCTAATGGAGAATTTGGAACTACTTTGATATATGTGAAATGATACCTTTGTATCATGTCATGAACATGAGTGGACCATTTATCGAACAATTTCTTTTTTATTTCATTCTTATTATCGGTTACATAGATAAGTCCAATGGCATTCACTTTGTCATCGAAATTGTGGTTATCTTCCGTAACACCTCCTAAATTCATAAAATAGGCTTTATAAGTGAAAGACAAGAAATCTATGTCTATAGGATACTACAGCTTCTTTCTCTTTTGAAGTATGGAATCTATTCCCACTTCTGATATCACTTCGATAAGAGGATTTTTGAAGCATTTTTTATGCATAAGTGTGCACAGATAGCGATATTATATTAACTTTCCGTCAGTTTGTAATGTTATATTTTGTATGATTTCATCGACCAATTTTGCTTCTGAAAGAACACTTTTTACAAACATGTTTTCTCCATCTTTTTTTAATATTTCTATTGCTACAAAATTAACAATATCAGGAGTTCTCATTTGATCAGAAAATTGAGACGAATTGTAAGAAAAGTTATTTTTTATGAAGTTTTTAGTTCTAAATAATTTTCCTGTATCAGGAGTTATTATATCGTTAAAGGACTTATCGGGTGTTAATTCTTTAATAAAAATCGATAGAATAATAGACAGAATTAGAGGTAAAAGGATAAAGTAATATGGATACCGTCCAACTGTTTTTCCTAGTTTCATAAAAATATAACAAAGGAATTTTCTAACACAATCAAGCTTCATTTTGCAGCTTTGATATGTCCGTTGATAATTATCTTTGCCTTGCTATCTGAAAAAATTAATATTAATATATTTAATATTTTAAATGACATTGTAAATTTTCTGCGGTTTAAATTCTGTTTAATAATAATTTATTGTAGAACATTTGCCCATTTATTCGCTGTAGAAATGAAGGGAAATGTTATATAGATGGCTTCAATGGGGTTTATCTCAGGTGAGAGAAAGCTTGTGGTTTACATTTCGAAGGAGATATAAACAGAAGAACGTTTTATAATAATGATATTTAAAAATTGCAAGGCTAAATTGAACTGTACTATTAATATTTAGTGTACTACTGTTGTCTATAGTGGTGTCGTCAATACATTGCCTTAGAAACTACTCACAATATTATAGAAAGATTGCATGTATTTTTTATATATAAAATTTTATTTAGTATATTTTTTACGAATGTTATCTCTTTACTGTGTGATGTTATCATAAATTCAGGTTAAACTGGTAAAAAATAGCATCTAGAGAACAGGATAGTACGACTATTTCGTACGATGACCCTAATGTGCTTACAATTTATGCCAAGTACAAACACACTCATCCGTACATTGTGTACGCCAGCATAATTTGTAATTGTTTTTCAGAGTTACGTGATAAGTATGTTATGACGTAAGTGCTATAAAATAAGTCTTATGTTATAGGACACAAAAGATAATACGTAAAATTAGACAAATAAAAAATTAAAAAATTCATCAACCAGTTGGATAAGTTTCGGGGCCAAACTTTACCATTTTGTGGTGCTCCATTTATTATAAAACTTTATTTAAAAATTTTTATATTATTAATTATTATAANGATATAATTTAATTCCTTTCCTTTTTTCTGTCAATTAAACTACGTTTATTAACATGTGTTTTTGTAGATATTTTTCCGAAGAAAATTTCAAATTTATCAACTACTAGAAAAAAATTCATTATTTTCCATAAGTTGAAATGTGTTAACACAATTGAAAATTTTAAATAATGTCCCTATTAGTAACGAAAGAAATATTCATTTTTATACGAATTAACTGCATAGATTTGACCGTTTTCACGTTACTCGGGGAAAAATTTATGTCTTTGTATTATTTATATAGATTAAATGTATCAGTGCATAAATAATTCAATTATCCTAACGTATTAGCAAGGAAAAACCAGATGGCATTTCATTTCTGTAAATCACTATACACCAGATGTAATGTGTTTGTTCATTTTATTGTCGTAACCGATATTTTACGTTCAACTTACCATCATTTTTTAAACTTATTCAATGTAAAAGTAAAGATTTGAGACGCTATAATATTTTATGATATATTTTAAGATCAGTAATAAATTAATATAATATCTTCATACAAAACATGATATACACAGTGGCACGTTATCCTATATGCAAAAAAAGCTATTTTCTGGGATCCTCACCAACAGGGGACTTTAAACCAATCTTTATAAGAAAATATTTCCCTCAACAAATTTTCCTCCGATAAAAAATGTCTGAAGTAAAACGGTACATGGGTATCCCTAATTAAAATTTACATAGGCCACATGAAGCCATAATAAACACTGTGGGGGTTGGGGGTCATCAAAAGATTAGATTATGTAAGTTTAGAGTATGATTGGCCCTGCAACCATGTGTGTTTTGTCGGAAACACCTCCAATTTAGATAAAAGAGCAAATAGTTAAGGAGCGAGGGAAAGAGTCACTCTGAAGTCCAGGAATGAGCCTCTCAGAAGGATGAATGCAAGTACAAACAAGTAAAACGGCAAAGCCATATTTGGGACAAATCAATGTCTTGAAAACTCACTAGTAAGCGTCAAAGTAATCCACTTTGACGCGTAAGGCGGGTCTCGTTCTCATTCACCAATCTTTGGTATTGCTGGATTTGAGCGCGATCTTTCAAATTTCTGCGGCCTCGGCCACGGCTACTACCAGGAGGTCGTCCACGATGCATTTTCGATGAAATTAACCTATCCAATTTCGAAATTTATCTTTGTTGCGTGTCGCGCCGGGTTGAATTTTGCGTGTCGCGCCTAACGAAAATTTCACTTTT